GTCCAGGAGAAAAAATTACTGAGCAGTTCAGATTCTTAGTCAAACTACTAACAGATATTAAATTGGTGCTCAATCTAGGAACATGGAGGACAGAGGGTAAACAAATGGAATATTAATCTTGACAGATCCCTTCCCAACAATAGGAACATGGGATCCATCAGCTGTGGAGACTCTATCTCTGCCAGAACAGAATTGGTAAGAGGAGAAAATAGTGGAGCAATGGGTCATGTGCTCTGAGGCTCCAGAGTCTATAATCCAAGGAGATCTCTCCTTACCTGAAGCAGAAACATAGTTTGCAGTGACATGTGAACTACCTGTGTGGGCAAAGGAGGTAGAGTGAGCTCCACCTGTGCTACCTGTACCTTGTTGTCCGCTTGCGGCTGAACTGGAACTAGTTGTATCCCTCTGATTCAGAAGAAACCCAAACCTCTCAAGCTCGGCCCTTATTGCAGCAGCTGCAACGAACTCCAAAGCAGCTATAGTAGGGGGGCCGGAGTGTCACCAGTAACTGCCATGTGCGCATTTCCTTTCTTATTCTTCAATCTGGTAGGCACAAGATGTGGGTGAAGCTTCCAACAAGCATCTCTTGTATGCTTAGGCTTCTTACAGTGGTCATAGACCAAGTCCCTTTTGTCTTCCTTCTTGTTTTCATTGCCATTCTGTTTAGATTTCACAACACTTACCATAGCGGACTGATCAGAAATGAGATTCTTCATCATTACATCCCTCCTGCACTCCTCTCCTGAAACAAAGGCATATGCTTGGGAGAGAGTGACTTTGTCCCTGGAAAGAAGATGTTGTCGTGCAATGTCATACTCAGGGTTAAGGCCAGCAAGGAATTCGAACACTCTATACTTCTCTAAGTGTCTTTGATAGGTAGCTGCATCCTTGGTGGGTTCCCAAGTAAAAGTCTCTAGATGGTCGATCTCCTGCCACAGGGTCTTAAGGACTGAAAAATAGGCTGCAACAGATCTATCTCCCTGCCTTGTAGCAATAATCTGATTTCTCAATTGATAAACCCTAGCAACATTCTCCCTTTGTGAATAGGTTTCTACAACCCCATCCCATATCTCCTTGGCAGTATTTGCCCATAAAAAAATCTTACTTATATGTGGCAACATGGAATTACACAACCATGTCATTACCATATAATTTTCCTGCACCCACCGGGAGTTGCCAGTTTCAGGTTTCACCTCTTCACCAGTAATATACCCCAATTTTCCACGATCCCCAATGACCATCTTTGCAGATTGGGACCATTCCAAGTAGTTTGTACCATCCAACCTAACYGTAGTAATGGTCCCAGCTCCGAAGGGGTCTCCAGCTCCTCCTCCCACAGGTCCCATTTCATTCCCGGGCTTATATTCAACTCTGTGTCCCTCCATGCTTCTCAAAAGGGTATAGAAACAAATAAAAAATGCAGCAAGAACAAACAAAACACCTTCTAGAACCAACGACACTCCTTTGG